GGGCGCCCGAGGAGACACAGCAAGGGACCCTCCCTCTGGTCACGACAAAGAGCTAGGTGCACAATGAGGCAGGAAGGCTGGGAAGTGGGCAGGAAGCGAGTGTCCTCCAGGCTGCCCCATGGGCACTTGCCCGGACGTAGTGACCAGGGAAGAGGGACAGTTAAGGCTGACCTGGACTCGGGCAGCAGCAAGCTGCCTGGGAGGCAGGAACAGGTGGGACCGGGGCGCCCCTGGGTAGCCGCCCCCACCCAGGGGAGGGGACAGTGGGAGCCCGGGAGGGCAGGCCCACGAAGGCCGGGAGCGAGACTGGGAGGCGGGACACCAGGTGCGGCCCAGGATTTGGAGGCCAGACAGGTGCGGAGACAATGGTGCCCTGAGGTGGGGGGCCGCCATGTGGAGGCTCCTGTGTGGGAAAGACCCAGGCAGGCCTGTGAGGCCCAGCTCGGCCACCGCCTCCCGCTGCCCCATTTCCTTAGACATCGGGGACGCTCACGCGCTGGCCGACCCAGAGCCTCGTGGCCCGCACGTTGCTCGTGTGGCTGCAGTCTTTTAAGACCAGAATTTCTTTCTTGTGGGAAATAGAACCTGACCTAGTCTGGCAGGTGGCCCCAGAGAAGAGCCTGTACAGCGGGGTGGGGGGCTGGCGGTAAGGGGGTGCCGGGAGGGATAGGGAGCCAACTCTTGCCTGGCGCTGGGTCACCTCGGCAAGGAGAGGTTTGTGTGGGCTTAGAGTGTGGCGGGAGTGTGGGGGTGCCCGCCCGGTGCAGCCTGCTGCTGCTCCCCTTCACAGGGCCCCAGCCGAGCCGCCGTGTGGGATGGCTCCAGGCTGGGCTCTGGGCTACATGGCTGGGAAGATGAAGGACGCGGTAGGGGCCTTCGGAGGGCGGCCAGAGCGAGAGCTGCATCCCCAGGAGGCGGTGCGGATGGGGCGGGGCTCCCTGTGGAGCCCGGGGTTCCGGGCAGTGGAGGGGTGTGCTAAGACCCTGGGGTGCGCAAGCACCAGCTACGTTCTGGGAAATGAAAACAGATCAGAGTGACCGAGAAAGGGGGAAGGGGCATGGGAGGCGGACAGCCAAGGGGCTGAGCACAGGAAGAGACCGCAGCCGGGGCAGGCCACAGCCCAGGAGACCCGGGCGGGCGGGGCCAGCGGCCGGCGGGGCCAGGGCAGCAGTCCAGGCTGGAACGGGCGCAGTGAGGTGCTGGGACCTAGTGAGAAGAGCAGCCGTGGGTGCTCCTCTGGCCAGGGAGGGCCAGGACGTCTGGGGAGAGGCGGGCCAGGCCGGGGTCCGGCACTGGCGGGGTGCCTCCCCGTCTGGCCCTAGCGGCCGGCGGGACACGATGGGCGGGGTGGTGGGGCATGTGGGCCTTTGGGGTCCCTCAGGCGGCTGCGGGCACCCAGTTTTCCAAGAAGAGTTGAGTCAGCAGTGGCGGCGGCTGGTAGGCTCTGCCTTCCCCGCCCCTCCCAGCCACTGGCCACTTGGGAGACTCATTTCATTTCTCAAATTAAAAATCCATTTTGTACTGTGAATAATAGATGGACTGAGCCCTGGGAGGCTGGGCTGAGGACAGGAAGCTGGGGGGGGGGTGTTTTCTGGGGCACAGAGGGTACCAGAGGCAGGGCGAGGGGGTTCAGCCCCTGTGGACCCCCAGGCCTGTGGCAGGCCAGCAGGGGCCCAGTGTGCCCCTGCACCCACCCGGAGGGGCACAGCGTCTGGTCTGACACCCAGGCGCAGGCCGGCGCAGGCCGGCCCTGCCCGGCTGCAGGTCGGCTGCCTTCCTCTGGAGAGAAGCACTTCCGCCTCAGCCGGGGAAGCTGGGGAGATGTGTCATTTGCTTCAGGACGGTGTCCCTAGGGTGTCAGGGATGTCTGAGCCCTTCCCCAGGACTCAGACCCCACACACCTCCACCTCCGAGCGCTCTGGTCAACCCCCCACCCCTCCCAGCCCAGCTGGGCCCCGGCTGCCTCGGTCAGGATTTGGCTGGGCCTGGCTGTTCCTGGGCTTGCTTGCTTGCTTGCGAGTCAGGGGGTCACCTTGACAATTGGGAAGGGAGCTCTGGGAGCCTCAGAGACAGAGGAGTGTGTCTGCCACTCACCTCTGCTCCCCTCCCCTCCCTGAAAAGAGGCAGGAGGGCAGCGGAGGAGAGGCTTGGCCGCCCACTGCGCCTCCAGACGGGCACCTGGTCAACTCCGTGGGGCCTGGGTGCTGTGCTCAGGCCCGTGTGGGGGAGAAGCCTGTGGGGAGGGGTGGGGGTGAGGTGCTCTACAGGGCAGGCGACAGCAAGCTAGCCAGGGAGGTGGCGTGAGCTGGCAGGGCAGACACGTACATGGCAGCTGAGGGTCCCGCAGGGATGGCCAGAGGGGTGCCACAGTCAACCTGGGCAGGGCCGTGGAGGAGGGGGCCTGGGTCCCCACCCTCAGGGATGGCAGGCCTGGGTCCCTGGGGAAGCCTTTGTGCCTTTGTGCCTTTCTGTCGGAAGAGAGTCAGCTCCCTGAGACAATATCCATTTTTATATTTCTTGGAAATTTCACGGCATTCATTTCAGGGAAAATAAAAGCTGTCATTGCTGGAGAAATGATACCAATCAGGGCCTGAAAAGGCTGGAAAATTATCCTCCTGGAGATGGAACGTTGAGGGAAAATGCAGATTAAAAGCACAAAGAGCCACTTTGCCACCACCCTGCCCTCCCCTCCCCCACGGAATCACCCATTTTACATAATTCCACCTTTCCTCAGAGAATTAATTGGACCCAGGAAGAACACACGGGGTGGAGGAGGACCCCAGCAGTCAGAGGTGGAGACAGAGTACCCAGGACAGCGGCTTGGAGACAGACAGAGGGACAGCGGGGCAGCAGAGTGGGGTGCAGAGAGTGTGGGCGGAGCGGCGGCTGGCAGCAGTGCTCACATGCAGCCCCAGGAAGGGGCAGCGGTGGGTTCTCTGGTCCCTGCCCTGTGGCGGTTTTATCAGGTTGGTTCCCTGGCGGGCAGCCGTGGGCAGCCCCAGACGGCCAACCTGCTCTGCAGCCTGGCCCACCAGGCCTGGGAGCGCTGGCCTGGAGTGGGTCCCGGAGGGACACTGGAGCCCGGAGGGAAGAGTCAAGCAGAACAGAGAAGGCAGAGACTCCAGAAACACTCCCACTCAGACAAGAAGCCAAGCTCGCCGGGCCCAGGAGGCCGGGCTGTGGGTACCCTGTGAGCAGAGCAAGAGCGCCCAGAGCCTGGGGGAGGGCCAGGGTCTACAGTTAGGAAGCACTTTGAAGTAGAAGGGAGAGATAAATGTGCCGCCCTACCTGGCCTGTCCCCCACCAGCCCAAAGAGCATGTCCAGGGGCCGGCAGAGGATGGGGATGCCGGGCAGGGGCCTCTCCTCACTCTCCGGTCCTCCTCTTCTTCCCTGGAGCTAGAGGGTCCAGAGCTGTGGGTGGCCAGCCGCAGTCTGGGCTCTGAACCCCTTCCCCCAGCGTTCTCCCTGTAGCTCCCCTGCCTGGCCGGGGCTGGGGAAAGCTAGCAGGCCACCCCCCCCAAACCCCGCTGGCCCTAGGGGAGGCCAGGGAGGGCAGGGGCTGACGGGGGGCCAGGAAGTCCCCTCATCGAGGCCGTTTCTGCTCCAGGCCCTGGGCCAGGGGGTACAGCCACAACTTCAGCGCACCCCACAGCTCCGGGGGAGTCTTCCCAGCGCGGTGCTCCAGTCCTGCTGAGCCCGGATGACCCCCGCCCTTCTCATCTCCAGTTCGAGGGCCTTTCTGGAGGGCTGGTAGCGCCCCGAGTGGGGCAGAGGATCCGGGCGCCCTCACTCTTCCGGGGACGCGACAGGACCTGGAATCCCCGAGCCCAGAGCCGGGGAGGACCCTCGGGAGCGTGTCCCCGCAGCCGCCGCATCCGCCACTGAGCTGCCACGGAGCTGAC